GATTTTTATATATCTTATCACTAGAAATAGATTATCTAAAACTTTAAGTCAAAATAAACCAATGAAGAAAAAGTGATATTTTAAAATTGAATAAAAGAAAAGAAACTGAATTACCATTGATTTCATTGAATCTCAAGTGCTATTCGTTGTAAAAACACACCATTATTTTATATGGGAAAAAAACCCACTGCCAATTAATTGGAAGATACCATCGACTTTAGAGTTTTTTAAAAATGTGCAAAATGGGAGTGTTTCAGTTCATTAGTATTGAGACTGGGTGATTTACAAAGAACTGAAATTTATTTCTCACAGTTCTGGAGGGTGTTGAAGATCAAGGCCCCAGCAGGTTTAGTGTCTGGTGAGGCCCAGATACCTGCTTCCAAGATGGTGGCTTGAAAGCTGTGACGTCACATGGCGGAAGGGACAGGAAGGCAAAAAGGGCAGGAGAGGAGAGTTTTGCCTTCAACCTGGAGCCCTTTTATAAGTGTGCTAATCCCATTCTGCCCTGTGCCTTAGTCACCTCCCAAGGACCACATCTATTAATACTGTTACACTGGGGATTAAGTTTCAACATGAAATTTGGAGGGGACACCATCATTCCAACCACAGCAGGGAGTCTTGGAATTGATGAAAGAGGACAGTCCCTTCTTGGCCCTTTATTAACCAAAATTCCTGTGTGGTCTTCCAGGCACGGCCAGGACCCTATGACCTGCTGACCCTTCCAGCCCAAAATGATGGAGCCCAATGGCTCCTCCCGCGTGGATTCTGAGTTCCGATACACTCTCTTCCCGATTGTTTATAGCATCATCTTTGTTCTTGGGGTCATCTCCAATGGCTACGTGCTGTGGGTCTTTGCCCGCCTGTATCCTTCTAAGAAACTCAATGAGATAAAGATCTTCATGGTGAACCTCACCATGGCCGACCTGCTCTTCTTGGTCTCTCTGCCTCTGTGGATCATCTACTACTACAACCAGGGCAACTGGATTCTCCCCAAATTCCTGTGCAACCTGGCTGGCTGCCTCTTCTTCATCAACACCTACTGCTCTGTGGCCTTCCTGGGCGTCATCACTTACAACCGCTTCCAGGCAGTAACTCGGCCCATCAAGACTGCTCAGGCCACCACCCGAAAGCGTGGCATCTGTTTGTCCCTGGTCATCTGGGTGGCCATCGTGGCCGCGGCATCCTACTTCCTCATCCTGGACTCCACTAACACAGAGGCCGTCGAGGCTGGCTCAGGCAACATCACCCGCTGCTTTGAGCATTACGAGAAGGGCAGCGTGCCGGTCCTCGTCATCCATATCTTCATCGTGTTCAGCTTCTTCCTTGTCTTCCTCATCATCCTCTTCTGCAACCTGGTCATCATCCGCACGCTGCTCAGGCAGCCGGTGCAGCAGCCGCGCAACGCCGAAGTCAAGCGCCGGGCGCTGTGGATGGTCTGCACGGTCCTGGCGGTGTTCAGCATCTGCTTTGTGCCCCACCACATGGTGCAGCTGCCCTGGACCCTGGCCGAGTTGGGCTACCAGAACAGCGACTTCCACCAGGCCATTAACGACGCGCATCAGGTCACCCTCTGCCTCCTCAGCACCAACTGTGTCCTAGACCCCATCATCTACTGTTTCCTCACCAAGAAGTTCCGCAAGCACCTCACGGAGAAGTTCTACAGCATGCGCAGCAGCCGGAAATGCTCCCGGGCCACCACGGAGACAGGCACCGAGGTGGTTGTACCACTCAGCCAGGTCCCTGTCAATTCCCTCAAGAATTAGTCCCTGCTTGTTGGGCCCAGGCCCAAAGTCTTTTCTTTCATGGACAACACGGACTGAGCTGGGGGAAGAAGGGATATCTGCTGTGGTCTGGGCACCTCCTCCCTGGGCACTGGTGGCCCATTAGGTATAAGGGCTACCTCCCCCAGGGAGGGATGATGGCAGAGCTGACTGCTGGAAAATCCAGAACTTGAATGAGCCCCTTCATCCATCTTTGGGAACATATTATAGTAACCTTGGCTGGCGACATTATCCTGAGTCTTACAGAACTGGGAGGAATGTCAGGGCCAGGTGCAGACCTCAGGGGCAGACTTTGAGCCACCTAGTTCACCCCACTGGGGCAGCAGCCTAGAGCTTTGAGCAACCACTCCCAAGCGATAATGGCAGAGAGGAATTTTGGGAAAGGGACAGCCCCCACCCCCACTGGCTGTGTGGCACTATCTTTGGGACAGAATTTTGCGCTAGGACAGTACCATCCTCTCTCTACCCTCAGGCATAAAGTCTTTGTGACACTTCTCAGGGGAAGTGGCTCAGTGGAGCCTTCTCTTGACTCACCCAGCAACCTGTCCTGAATGGTGACCAGAGGAGACAAAACACGAACAACAGACCAAAACAGGACAGGAGCTTGTTTCTTGAGTCAGATGCGTTTCTCTGCGCAGGCCTTGCCTCACACCTGGGTCAGCTCTGGGGGAGTGGGAGAGCCACGACCGCCTCATCTATCTTTCTGTCTCAACAACAGACCCTGACTAAGTACCTCCTGTGGGCAGCCACCCACTGTGGCTCAGTGACCCTGCAAAGCAAAATTGGGGCCCTCCAGGCCAGGGCACCTCAGTGTCCAGAGGCTTCCATGGGAATAGGCACTTGGGCTGGGAAGTGCCTGAGGCCTCTGGGGGGAAGGAGCCAGTCAGTTCTCCTCCCCCTCCTTGTTCTCTCAGGCTCCTCCTAACCTGGCTTCCAGGAGTCACAGTCCCAAGGGCCAGCAGGTGTCAGCTTTTTTTGAGGATCATGAGTTTTGGCAAATGTCTCCAACTGGGCCTCCTCTCCTGTCCCGAGACAGGAATGTGAGCCTGCAATGTGAACCTCACAGGGGCTCAGAGACTTCCTGGTTTCCAGAGCTCTGTGCTCCTTCTGAGAAATCTGCCCTCCCTCCAGGCAGAGTCCCCGTGAAGTTAGGATACTACCTGCCTGTCTCCTGGGCAAGCGCTGGATTGCTGATTTTGATGAATGCCTCCCACTGGGCCAGTAACCTGCTTGGGTCTGGGATGGTGGCTGTGGGCTGGACTTGGCTGATGGTGACCAGGTGGCTAGCGCAGCATACTTGAGCCTTGGTGTCACACAGACCCAGGTTCAAGCCTTGGCTTTATCATTTCTTGCCAATGGAGCTGAATTTCCTACCTCTTAGAATTCTTACCCATGAGGTAAAACCTACCTCACAGGATCCTGTGAGAGTCCCTTGCCAGGATACGGTCTCTTACTCTGCTTGCGCTGATTTGAGTGGGTGTCTATCACTTACAACCGAAAGAGCTCTGAATGAGGTAAATGCTGTATGCTGATGGACAGTGTCTTCTGAATTTCTGTCATCTCGGTACCCTCCTCGCAACCTTTGCAATATCTCTGTGCCACCTGTGTGTTTACTTAATAAATATTTTACATTTATTTAAAAGAAAACTCATAATTGTAAATGAAAACTAATGCCACTGGCCACAAACATAAAAACGTAACTACTAAAACTGTTTCTCTGTGTTCTGTCAAAAGTCACTTCATATGCCCCAGTGACTTACACAGCTTGCTTCAGGAAGCCCAGCTGTGATGTGCGTTAAGCGCACAGGGTCTGCATTCAGTAAGTGCTCAGTATAGAGTAACTGACAGTTTGAGACGACTTGTGATTACCTCCTTTCTTCTCCCTGGATGTTGCCCCAGCACACAGCCCAGGCTCGCACTCCTTCCCAGGGCCAGGTGCTGGGACGAGGAGATTAGGTTGTAGCCCTCTTCGCCACTCACAACACGGCCACCGTTACTCCTGTGACCTCGCCTCGTTGTGTCCTCAGACATCTCTTCTTGTGTTTGTTTATTTATTTATTTATTTGTATTTATTTTTATTTTTTTGAGACAGAGTCTCGCTTTGTTGCCTGGGCTAGAGTGAGTGCCATGGTGTCAGCCTAGCTCACGGCAACCTCAAACTCCTGGGCTCAGGCAATCCTTCTGCCTCAGCCTCCTGAGTAGCTGGGACTACAGGCGTGAGCCACCATGCCCCGCTAATTTTTTGTTTCTAGTTTTAGTTGACTGGCTAATTTTTTTCTATTTTTAGTAGAGATGGAGTCTCGCTCTTGCTCAGGCTGATCTCAAACTCCTGAGCTCAAACAATCCTCCCACCTCGGCCTCCCAGAGTGCTAGGATTACAGGTGTGAGCCACAGTGCCCAGCCTCTTCTTGTGTGGCTTTTTTTTTTTTTTTTTAGAGACAGGGTCTCACTATGTGGCCCAGGCTATAGGCACGATCATACTGCACAAGCTCCTTCCACCTCAGCGGGGACTGGAGGTGTGAGCCACCCATGCCCATCTCTTCTTTTTGACCTAGCCCAGAACAGCTCCAGTAACACCAAGAACACTGCCTTCTGAATTCCTGAAGGCAGCATTTTGGGACTGGGAGGGTTCGCATTTTTTTATACCGTAATTACTATGACTATTGAGGCTTATCCATTTCATTGTATGTCTTTCCTATCCTGGGGGCAGGAACTGGATCTTAATCATCTCGCCAAGACCTGCAATTGAGATCTGCCGGTCTCCAAAGCGTATGGCTTCCCCAAGGAAGAGCATAAACAGACATAGTGGCATATACATGCAATTATTTTGAAAGGGTTTAAGGAGACTCTATAGCGACAGATGGGAAAGAAATTTAATACATATTCTTTCAAAGTTCTACGTCCATATTTTAAAGGAAGTGTGAAATTTGTTCATCCGAATTGGGTCATTCTTGTCCTACCCAACTAAATCAGAGTCAAGGGTCTGGGGAAAAACATTCAAGGTACATAACTTTGCTCTAAAAATGTAATTCTCTGCAAGTCCTGTGGCTGAAACTGCCTGTTATAACCTGAAGCCAGTTTTACGTATAGTTGCTGAGATAACGTACTGCACCTCTAGGACTAATTTTGCCCACCACAGTCACCCACCAACTGGAGTTTATCATTTTCCCAAAGCGTTACTAATACCAGTGAACTTTCTCTCAGGATCACACATAACATTCCTTTTTAAAAATAAAACCTCTAACCTTCTGTTTGTTCTTTGGACATTCTGAGGTGTGTGTACCCTGAATTGCAATTGTTCCTTCCCAAATAGTATGTTAAATTTAGAGATTCCTCTACATTTTTGTTTTGACTTTGATAGAAGATGTCGTGGATTTTCAGAGGATCAGAACATTTTGGAGCTGGGAAGGTCCAAGCCCTTCATCTTACGAAGAGGAACATGGGGCTCAGAGAGGCTAGGTGATGGTAGAAGTTACACAGCGTGAAACTGGCCATTCATCTGTATCTCTCCATTCTCGCAGTGGTGATGAGATTATGGAAGAGGCTGGGTCCTAATTCTTTTGGCGAAACATCACTGATTGGGGCTTCCAAGGCATCCTGTGTATCAGGAAGGCCTCACCTTGCATTTCCCCCATCTCAGTCCTCACCCCAGGAACTACCAGTGATCTCAGTTGGAGAATGCTGGCTCATGCAAGACTGGCCTCATCGAGATGAGTCATAGACACAAGAGTGATTAAGTGTAGGTCACAGTTGACTAGAAACGGATACGCTTATGCCTATTTTTACTCATCTGTGTTATAGACCTAAGGTCACAAAGAGATATAATAAACACCTCTTGTAAAGCACCTGGTTTTTATGCAGACTTGGTATTTCTGCAGAACAAATCATGTCCCCCTTGACATTCTACCAGCAAGCCATCCTCTCACCCAGCCATCCATCTGTCCACCCGTCCATCCATCTACCCATTCATCCATCTATCTAGCCACTCATCCATTCATCCATCTATCATCTATCCACCCATCCATCTATTTATCCATCCATCCATCCACCCAACCATCCATCCATCCACCCAATCATCCATCCATCCATCCACCCAACCATCCATCCATCCATCCCTCCCTCCTCCCATCCATCCATCCCTCCATCCAGGTACCCAACAAACACCTATGGAGTGCCCCATCCATCCATCCACCCAACCATCCATCCATCCATCCCTCCCTCCTCCCATCCATCCATCCCTCCATCCAGGTACCCAACAAACACCTATGGAGTGCCTATTTTGGTCCAGTAACTATACTAAGCACAGTTTTGATCTATTATTTCATTGAAACCTCATACTCTCCTTGAAAGGTAGGTGAATTTATCCCCTCGGAAATGAATAAAATAAATAAGGACCTGAGCTTAAGACACAGTGGCTGCCTCCAGGGTACTTGGTACAGAAGGAAGGGGGCCCTAGCTATGTGCTTGCCACTTTCACCTAGCTTGTCTCATTGAGTCCTCATGAGCACTCTACAGAATAGATACTTTCATGCCCATTTTACAGATGGGAAAATTAAGGCTAAGAGGGGTTCAGTGATTTATAAAGGTAAAAGAGCTATTAAGTAGCAGAATAATATTCAAACCCAGATCTGCCTTGGTAAGTATGGGTCCCTTTCCCTCTCTCCTCTCCCATGTGACTGTACCCTCACCCAAGTCCCTCTAGACACAGCCTGGTGTGTGCTGGGGCAGGGATCTTTTGAGGGGAAAGCAGCTGGCGAGATCCTCCACCTCGCTGTTTCTGGCTTCCTGTGTGAAGTCTCCTGTGCGGCCTGTGCAGGCTGGAGCCCCAGCAGCGACGACTCTCTCCCAGGCTCTGGCCGCTGTGGTCAGCGAGACAGCGTGCTGCTAAGGTGAATGGCAGATGTGAACACAGTGTTTCAAAGAACCTCAGAAGCCAGAGTGTCACTATCACTGGAACTCTTAGGGGTCACCTGGATCCTGACAGTTCTGTAAGGGGAGAGACAGGGGTGGCCTCAACATTGCTGACCGCTTATTGCGCGAGCTGTGTGAGGGGAGCGTGACATCATTTACCCCTCCCAAGCCCCTGTGGATGGAACTGACTCTTCCCTCTGCCTGAATTACTTTCCTCCAGATATGCCTGTGGCTCATGCCCTGGCTTCCCCCAAGGCTTTGCGCAAATGTTGCTTCTCAGTGAGGCCTGCCCTGACCACCTCATTTAAAACAGAGGTTTTGGCTGAGCAAGGTGGCTCACGCCTATAGTCCTAGCACTTCGGGAAGCCAAGGTGGGAGGGTTGCTTGAGCTCAGGAGTTCGAGACCAGCCTGAGCAAGAACAAGACCCTGTCTCTATATAAAGCCTGTCATGGTGGCATGACTGTAGTCCCAGCTACTCAGGAGGCTGAGGCAGGAGGATCATTTTTGCCTGGGAGTTTGAGGTTGCAGTGAGTTATGATGACGCCACTGTACTCTAGCCCAGGCAACAGAAAAAGACCCTGTCTCAAAAAAAAAAAAAAGCAAAAACAAACAAACAGAGGCTTAGAGAATGAAGTGATTCCCCAAGGTCGTACTGTGGACGGCTGCCATAGCTGGGTCTGTCTGGCTCCAAGCCCATGCACTTTTCCACTCCACTCCATTGCCTTCCTCTGCAGACATCCTTCGTGACACAGAATGTGAAGGTCCATGTCTTCCATCTTCCAGAAAGATGGAAGATAGACAAGTATCAAGGAGGCGAAATGACTTACCGAAGGTCACACAGCAATAACATGGTAGAACTGGGATACAGAGATCTTTTTTTTTTTCACTTCCACCGTGCAAGACGCTTCTTTTATAGGCTTTCCTGTCTGCATGCATGTTACTTCCTCATCATTTCCCATCTCATCCTCCTCAACGGCTGTAGTGTGTCTGACATGCATCCTTCATGTTGTACGTATCCTTGTAAAATGTCTAGTGCTGTTTTGTGTGTATATTCATTTTAAATTTACATCAAAGTTATAGTTTACATAAGTTTGGCTTATTCTGTGTCTCATTTTTTCCCCACCCAGCATTGTTTTTATGATTTAGCCACACTGAAGTGTGTAGCATCATTGATGCTAATGTCTGGTTGGTCTCGCTGTGCATATCAATTACATCTTACCTATTTCCCCGGCACTGAACACTCAGGTTGCCTTCGACTACCTTTTCTACATACAATACTGTAAGGGGATCCTTCCAGGTGTTTCCTGTGGACCAGTGTAAGGATTTCTTTAGGGTGTACACCCAGGAGTAATATTCCTGGATCATAGGCTACACTCGTAATTAGTTTGATAAAGAACTGCCGAATTGCCAAGTGCGTGGTTGCAGCAGTCTACACTCTGCCTCACGGTGCTGTTGGTAATTGCACCCCCCCACACACACTTGGCATTGTCCAACTTTCAAATTGCAGGTAGGTGTAAAGGAAATCTTGTTTTTAGTTTGGATTTCTCTAATATTACTAATGGGTCTGTAATCACATATTCATTAGTCATTTGGGTTAGAATTCAGACAATTCTGACTTCAAAGCCTGCACAGTGTCACAGAGTGATCAATAAAGTGGCCTCTGGGGCCACATTGCC